TTTGGAGTTGAGTCTTTTTGGTTTATCATTTGTTTCAATTGATAGAATATTTCTTTTTTTATTTTTCATTTAAAGTTTAGTTTTTTATGTTATTTGTATATTTAAGAAATGATTAATTGTTATATCTATTTTATAGATTATGTAATAAATATTAAACATATAAACTTTTATTGGGAATAATGATTGTTATTTGTATTTATATTATTTATTGATTAAACCAGCTCTATAAATACATTATTCATTATTAATTTTTTATCATTGTCATTATATTAGTACTTTTTAACTCAATTAACTGTATCATCTATTAATACTTATATACTTTAACCAATTTAAAATTTTTCGTTTCTTTATTATTCTATTCATTTCTTTATATTAATTTATTCTTCATTTTATTTCAAACAATAACACTAAATGAAGTTATAGTAGGATATTTTTTGTACCAACTTAATTAAAAATAAAGAAATACTATTTGAAATGAAATAAAAATAAAAACAAAGAAATGTAAAGTGTTAATTAAACACATTTCTTGCAAACTGGTTGACCATTAATTAACATATAAGAACCATTAAATGGTTTTCCACATCGAGTACAAACGAAACAATTTGGATGGTAGTTATGGTCATCAACAACAAGATATTTACCATCAAGTGGCTTACCGCATTTGAAACATCTTGGGACACATGTTTCTTCATAGCAAATTGAACAAATTGGTTTTCCATCATGTTCCATTAATTTTCTATTACCACCAAATTTCTCTCCACAAACAGAACAAGTAAAGCAATCAGTATGCCAATATCTTCCAAGAGCCTTAACTCCTCCTTCAACTGGCTTACCACATTTTCCACATTTAATAATGTCTTCATCAAGTGCTGATGGTGGTGGTGTAGTTGGTCTGTGTTGAGTAGTTGGTTCATGTGAGACTGCACTTTCACCTGTTGGAGCACCACACTCAGAACAGAATTTACCTCCACTTAATTTAGCACCACAATTGGTACAGAACTTTGGTTTTGATGGGGAAGCTGGAGCAGGTTCTGTTTTACTTGGGGTAGAGGGAGCAACAGTAGCTGGTGTTTTAGCTGGTGTAGTTGGTTGTTTTGCTGGAGTTGATGGTGTTGGTTTTGCAACCTCCTTTTGTGGTTGAGCGGCTGGCTTTGGAGTTTCTTTTACTTCATCTTGACCTTCAAGTTGTAAAAATGGTTGCTTGTGTTCAATACAATGCTCAATAGCATCAGTAAGAGACTTGGTGTCAACTATTTTAAAAGAAGTACCATCACCTTTGTATATTATTTGGAACTTAGCACCTGAATATTTTTGTTCAATTTCTTTGATGAACACTTCATATAAATTAGGTAAAGTACGTTCTATGTTGACAATTTTATTGGCAGTGCCGTATTTTACTTTAATTTTCATTAATGGCATGGCTTGTAGCTAAAATGAATTAAATGATATCAAGATGAGATTGAAATCTAAAACCTCCTTTTTGCAAAAATAAACTCCAAGTCTATTTATTTTAATCTTTTTATTTTGACTTTTCCTTTTATTTATTAGTTCTTTTTCTCTAAGGCATGGCATTAATGTTAGTTATTTTATTTTAATTTGAATAGGAAATTATTTTGGGGAGTATAATTTTTTCATTAAAATTTTTAAGATTTTTAAAAAATTAGTGTAAAACAAAATCAAAAAATTATCTTTTTTTATTTTTTCTTATTTTTTATTTTTGAAAATTTAATTAGTACATTATTTTTCTTATATTTCAATTTTTTTTTATTGTTTAGCATTTTCTATGTTAATAGAAACTATTTCAATTTAAATACTCTTTTCATTAATACAATTTTTGAATTATTATATCTAATATTTCTTTTTTTTAATTATGTATTTTTATTCTTTCAATAACTTAATAGTATAGAAGCTTTTCTCTTGATATTAAATCTTCTATTTTAATTTACAGCTCTTTAATTTCTTCTTTAATTGTGTTGGTAATTTCTTGTTTCTCTTTTTCTTAAATATTTATAGTCTCTTATTATTATCATTAAATCTTTCATTTATAATTTCTTCATTATTTATTCTAGATAATCCTTCTTCTTTAGTTTTTTTAAAATATTTCATTCAAGGTATAATGATTAAAAACATAGTTCCTGGTTTTGGTCTAGTAATGTCATTTAATTTATTAACAAAATTTTTATAAATTGGTTGTTTCTCATTCAATAATTTTCTCTATGAGTTTATTAAGTAGGTTTAAATAATCGTCAAGTATATATTCAAATTAAATTTAAAGTGTTATCATTTTTTCAATAAAAATAAACGATGAATATTCAATAAGATAAATTAAATGATAACATATAAGTCTCTTAATATTGATGTCTAAGTAAATATTATATTCTTAAAGAATATTTTTGAATATTTTATAATAATTTTAGATAAATAAACTTAGCAATTGTTTCTCAATATATCACTTTAAATGAAATTCATATTAATTATTTATAATTATCTAACTACAATAATGTATTTGTGAATGGATTTAATCTTCTTTCCTCTCCTTGCAAAAAAAATAAAATAAGAAACGGTTTGTTTTACTGTCATTTTCAATTTCTATAATACATATCAATATGATTAAATGTTGATTCTTTTAACAGAAATTACACATTTCATTAATAAGAAAATATTTAATTGTGGTTAAATAATAAATGATGACATATTATAATATATTTTCAAATTATTAAGTAATAAAATATAAAATTTGTTTTTATAACATAACTCATTCAACTTTTGTCAATAGTTGTATTATTTTTTGAACAGTTTTGTGAAATATTGATTTTATTTTAATGAATAATTCTTTTTGTTTAGGTTAACCTTCTAATACATTGAAGAAAATATTATAGAAACATAAAACATAAGTTCTAAAAATAAGATAGAATGGATATAAACTGGAATGATGCAAAACTTTTAAATGAAAAATATAGTACATGAGTTGTGAAAACACTACTGTATATATCACAGGATTCAGTAATGATATAGATGAACAAAACATAATTGAATTATTTAATGAAAGGATTAAAGACAATATTGAATTTACCCATATTGAACAAGGAAAAAGAAAAGTACTTTTAATTAGTATGGTTAATCCAGAAATCGCTCAAGAATTAGTTAAAGAATATAATGGAATAGAGTGTTTTGGTCGTCAATTGAATATATCATTAGATAAAGATGATGTGTTAACTTGTCATAAATTATATGTAAAAGGAATAGATAAATTAGTTGAGAAGGAACAATTTAAAAGTATAATGGAAACATATGGTACTGTAATAAGTTGTAACATATCATTAAATAAAAATAAACAATCAAATGGATATGGATATGTTGAATTTGAAACTGAAGAAGAATGTCAAAAAGTACTTAATTCAAAAGGAGAAATTCAAAAACAAATAGGAGATCAAAATTTTGTTATTGAACCATTTAATAAACCTGCTAGTAAATATAATTGCATTTAC